GCTTCAGCTGTTTCTGTGGGTAAAATAACCCGGTTCAGCTGTTTCTGAGGGTAAAATAACCCGGTTCAGCTGTTTCTGTGGGTAAAATAACCCAGTTCAGCTGTTTTTGTGGGTAAACTAACCTGCTCCAGCTGTTTTTGTGGGTAAACTAACCTGCTCCAGCTGTTTCTGTGGGTAAACTAACCTTCAGCTGTTTCTGTGGGTAAACTAACCTGCTCCCGCTGTTTCTGTGAGTAAACTAACCTGCTTCAGCTGTTTCTGTGAGTAAACTAAGCTTCTTCAGCTGTTTCTGTGAGTAAACTAACCAGACACAGCCGGGTCCAGACTCTTTCTTTCATTAAGTCTGCATGTTTATGAGTTTCAGCAGACATCTTGGATCTTTGGGACATTATGACATTGTTAGTCTTAACAACTCAAACCTAAAGAAGTTTCTTCACCTTTAGACTGTTACAACTTTTCTCCAAAAGGACCAGAACTCCCAGTTAAAGCACCAGATGTGAGCCCCCCCCCCCCCCCCCTCCAGGTTCTGGTTCGGCTTCTAAACGTAGAATGAGCTCGTACCTTGAGCCACTGGTCGATGCACTGGATGTGGTAGTCATGGAAACAAGGCAGTATCCTCAGTTTCTCCCCGTCGGTGTAGTCACAGAAACATATCTGACACCTGCCAATCAGCACAGACAGCCTTAAAGATGGAAGCTGAGGCACCAGGGTTCGGTTTTGACCCGCTGCTGGACTCACTGCATGTTCCCACTGGTTGAAGACCGGAAAGATTTGGTGGGAAACCTCTGGATTTCCCTGCGGGACATCTTTTTGTTCACGACAGCGCCCTGACGCTCCTCGAACTCCAGCAGAGCCTGAGAGAAGAGATCCGTTTAAAATCATTTAATCCGGATTCTGTCGGGTTTAAATTTGTTCAAAAGAACCAGACGTCAATCTGAGTTCAAAGAGTTGACCTTCAGCGAACCTCCTCCTCCTCATCCTCACCTCGTAGTCGTTTCCCTGAAGATCGCCTGACAGGTCCGGTAAGATGTTCCTCCTCCTGCTCCGCCCACGCCGCCTGCGCTGACCAATCAGATCTGAGAAAACACCAACGAGTAGAGAAGATGGAACCGGATTAAAAGAAACGCAGCAGCACGTCTGAAACATTTTATAAGTTCTGAATAGACTTTTTAAAAATGTCCCAGCAAATGGACTCCTTCGAAGTTCAAGAAACAGAAATGAGGTTCGGATCAGAACATTTTCACAGAACTGTGTTAAAATAAACATTTAATTTAAAAACTGTTCTGTACCGTCTTCCAGGTCCACCAGAGGAGACACGGCAGCCAGGACCTGAGACATCCAGCTGGGCTCCACAGAGAACTGCACACAGTTAGCACACTGAAACCAGAACCAGAACCTTCCAGAACCCAACTGGAGCACAATTTTAAATATGCTTAGATAAAAATGCACTTTATCTTTTCTAAAAAGCAACTTTTCAGAATATATATATATTTTTTATGAAACAGAAAAAAAAAACCCGCAGTTTAAACTTTTTAGGAGCAGTGTTGTTTGTTTCATCTATGATGAATAAAAATAAATAACTTTAACGTAATTTCTCTTTGAACTTTAACTCCGTTTGTCACTTTTTGTTTTATTCAATTTTCTTTTGGCAGTTTAAAAATAGAGAAAGTTTTACATTTTTGTTTATTCGACATTATTTGTTTACTGTGTTTCTCAGTGTTGTAGTGAAGACCAAGACCAAAGTGTACCGAGACCGAGTCAAGACCAAGACCAGAGTGTACCGAGACC